CTGTCCCTAGCATGTTAGCAGGGAGCTGAATTGGAGCAGGAAGAGCATAGATGTGAACCCTCAGGGCGCTTAGGAGATGCTGGTGTCACAGTGCGCATCACTGGCCCCGTGCACGCATGCACATGGACTTAGAGAAAGAGCCAGTGTGTGCTGTGAATCGGCCAGTGCTGCTTACTATCCAGTCCACGTAGGCTGTTCCTATCCTCGTCTGACAGGTGATTCAGAGCTGTTTGTGCAAACGTAATTACAAGTATTTTTCAAAGTGTGTGTACCAGACAAAAGTCTTTCAGATGTATCCTTAATGGAGAAGGCAGGTGAGTGGGATTTTGTCCTAGCTCTTCATGTTCCTGTAGTTCATGTTTTTGAACCTGCCAGGCTTGTTTTAGAGGTAAAATGGGTGAGGTGATTGTGTGGTTAGGCCACGGCTCAGCTCACCTGACTGGACAGGATGTGGGAGTGGGGGCAAGACGGGGCTCCCAGGCACAGGAGCCCGACCCTGGAGCTTTCAGCCACACAGGGTCTGTGTGAGCCTGGTGTGACCATTTGGGTGTGGACGGTAGATGAAGGATCTTTCTTTTGCTCTACCTTTCAAATGAATATAGCCTTTAAAAATAAGACACATTCAAACTTAATAAAATATATATTAAACAAAAATGTGATTGAAACATTTGATTTTGCAGTGATAAAAACAAATAGGGCAAAGAGCTGAACTTAGCTTATGAATATTACAGTAAGAAACCCACCCTGAGGTGCTGGCATGGTAGCTTAACTGGCTACTCTTGTGCTTGGAAGTTCTGAGATCCTATATGGGGATGGGCTTGTGTCCTGGCTGCTCCACTTCCCACCCAGCTCCCTGCTTGTGGCCTGGGAAAGTGTAGAGGACAGCCCAGAGCCTCGGGACCCTGCGCCAGTGTGGGAGACCTGGAAGAAGCTCCTGGCTCCTGGCATTGGATTGGCTTGGCACTAGCCGTTGTGACCACTTGGGGAATGAACAAGCAGAAGGAAGCTCCTTCTTTCTTTCTTTTGTAAAAATCTACCTTTCCAATAAAAGTAAATAAATCTTAAAAAAAAAAAAAAAAAAGAAATCCACCCTGCAACATACTGAGTGCCCACAGAGGTGGAGATTCCTTTCACATCCTGCTCTCAGCTGTCTGTCTCCCCACTCGGCCTTGCTCTGGCCCGAGTGCTGAGGCTGCAGTCGGTAGTGCAGCAGCCGCTGGCCAGAGGTCTAGTGCAGAGGTCGTCCATTCCCATGTCGTGACCCTTCTGTTTCTGGTCAGCTTGTACTGTGGTCCTCACCACCTAGCTGGGCTCTGAAGGAGGCCACTTACAGTTAGATCAGGACTGCCAGCATGACTTCTCCTGGGAACCCTGGCCTTGACCTCCTGAGGCAGGTGCAGAGATCTGAGACGCCTGGTGAATGACATTGCTGGACGGGAGAGTGCTCAGGTGCTCGCCACATTCCCTACGGCTAGCAGGCCAATCCCGGACCATCTGCTGTGCTCAGTTCCTAGAGGCCATTTCCCCGGCTGTTTGACAGTAAATAAAGTTGCTACCTGAAAGAAGAGTGCTGCAGATTTAGAAGAAAAACCGTCAGAAGTGAAGCCAGAGTGAGAAAAGAGACCAGTAGGTGGTCCTAGTGGTTTGCACAGCGACACTTGTACAGCTTGAAGCAGGCTGGCCCGCAGCTCTGCCTCACACTGTGCCCTGGCTCCAGGAGCACCCTACACTCCTCGCAGGTGCCATGCTCCTGATCCTGGCTGGGAAACGAGTGGGGAAGGAGGTTTTGGAGGGAGCATGGAGAACAGGACTGCCTGTCCCTGTGGCCCAGAATCTCACGGTGTAGCTCTGAGTCCCTGGGAGTCCCCAGAAGAGTGCTGGGCACTCTGCCGAGCCCCAGTAAGGACCCCGTGCTGCAAGTGCCTGTGACACTAGGTCTGGAAGGGCACAGTAGTGCCCCAGGTGCCAGGCAAACACCTCAGGATGGACCAGGCTCTCCCCTGCCCTTGGACCTCCAGAAAATGGATAGAGTCGTTGACAAGGACAAGAATGACAGACAAGGAGGGGTCCAACACAAAGACACATTCTGGGGCCTGGTTTATTTCGGGGGGTGGTTGCTCCTGACTCAGCTCTGCCCTTACTCAGCTCTGCCCTCACCCAGAGTATACAAATATGTTCTTAGTGCTTTTTTTTTTTAAGATTTATTTTATTTTTATTGGAAAGTCAGATATAGAGAGGAGGAGAGACAGAGAGGAAGATCTTCCATTCATGGATTCACTCCCCAGGCGGCCGCAATGGCTGGAGCTGATCCAGTCCGGAGCCAGGAACCTCTTCCTGGTCTCCCAGTGTGGATGCAGGATCCCAAGGCTTTGGGCCATCATCGTCTGCTTTCCCAGGCCACAAGCAGGGAGCTGGTTGGGAGGCAGGGCCACTAGGACACAAAGTGGTGTCCATATGGGATCCCGGCGCTTGTAAGGAGAGGACTTTAGCTGCTAGGCTACCGCACCGACCCATCCTTAGCGCCTCTTAACTCTGCGCCAGTCACAGTCCTGTGACACAGGACCTGGGGACACAGGTACACCTGCAGGTGTCAAGCACAGTCACAGCCTGTCCTGGTGACACAGGTGCACCTGCAGGCATCTGTCACAAGGTGTAGGACTGAAACACTGAGACTGGATACAGTGGACTCCAATTCCCTGACTTTACAACAGCTCAGCTGCCTTCCCCCACCTAGCCGGCTGAGTACATGGAGCAGCTAGAATTACAATACCCAGATAGGAAAAGCTGACAAGTAGGCTTAGGAGAAGCCTTCATCTTGTACTGTTTTTCCCAGGCTACTAGCAGAGAGTTTAGACAGAAGTGGAGCAGCACCCAAATGGATGCTGGCGTTACAGCGACAGCTTAACCCCCGTACCACCATGCCAGCATTTGGGGAATACCTTCTTTGCTGTTTGAATCAGTTGTGTCTCTCTGACGTGACCTGGCTAACCTGTCCTGCGGGGTAGCCACTGCCCTGTCCCTACCTTGCATCTGATGCCCTGGCATTCTTCCTGTGCCTGAGAGGCATTCGTCTGGCCCTCAGACTTGTGTGGCCACCTGGTACTGTGTGTGGCCCAACCTCCATATCTAAGTTGCATGTGCCATGCCACACTAGCTGAGATAGAGCTGATCTTGAGGCCACCAACACTTGGGCTTTGTGATGGGCTGTTTGCTGGCATGTTACTCCCAACCTGCAGTGATGGCTGCAAGCAGAGGGCCCTGGCACAACCTGAGTCCCATGCTGGAGTTCTCCAGGGTGCTGCCTAGTTCTGCAGTGCCTTCAATCCCACCCTTAGGCTTGAATGTGACCCATGTCTCCTGCCAACAGTGAGCGGGTAGACAGAGGCCGTTAGCAGGAGTGACAGCAGCTCTCCAACAGGGCCTGAGGCAAGACTGTCTGAACAGGTGCTGGGCAGTGCCAGGATGACCCAGTGCCCCAGCCCAGGAGTAGGGGAGTCTGCAGCACAGCCCTTGCCTAGGAACAGGTGCTGGCAGTGCTGGATGGCTCAGTGTCCAGGGGCTTTTGTAGCTTGTGCCTGCATAAATGAGAACAGAGCCAGTCCCGCCTGGCAAGAAGGCCTCTGCACTACATGCTCTCCGCTGACATGCGCTGAGTAGTCAGCCTTCCCTTAGGAGTTTCTCTTCAACAAAAATGACGAGACAGTCCACATGGACAACTTGTGAGGACATCGCCAGCCAGGCTAAAGCCAGGAACTCCAACCCGGTCTCTGGTCTCTGATATGGGTAGCAGCAACCCAAGGCCCTGGGTCATCTTCCCCTGTGCTCCCAGATGCATTTGCAGGAAGTTGAATCGGAAGCAGAGCAGTGGTGGCTGCAGTGTGGGGTACTGGCACTCAGCAGTGGTTGACCATGCTGCCACAGCACCTGCCCCATGAACATGTACTCAGGGTGGGTTTTAACCTCCAGGATTGTGGTCCCATTGTAGCACTGTTCTGTAGCATTTGTTTGGGACAACAGGTCAACACTTTCCAGCTATTTAGATTCAACTTTTGCTGAATTGTGAGGGTCATTTCAGAATACAAGCACTGCTGTCAGTGGAGAGGCCAGGGCCCAGCGTCTCCACCCCCACCTCCCCTTCTCAAGGAACTAGGAATGCTTTTACATTTTCAAACTGTACTATTTAAATCTGTGTTTCAGTATCATTGTGGTATATTAGGAATCATAGAAATTTTTTTGTTTTATAAAAATTAGGGCTTTTTTAAGGAAATTATGATGATGTGATTTGTATTTGTATGCAATTATATAGACTAAATATAAAAGAAAGGTAGATTGTAGTGTAATTATCAAATTGAATTTAGAGTTGTTAATTAGTTTTTTTTTTTTTAAGATTTATTTCTTTATTGCAAAGTCAGATATACAGAGAGGAGGAGAGACAGAGAGGAAGGTCTTCCGTCCGATGATTCACTCCCCAAGTGAGCGCAACGGCCGATGCTATGCTGATCCGAAGCCAGGATCCAGGAACTTCTTCCGGGTAACCCACATGGGTGCAGGGTCCCAAAGCTTTGGTCCATCCTCGACTGCTTTCCCAGGCCACAGGCAGGGAGCTGGATGGGAAGTGGAGCTGCCAGGATTAGAACCGGCGCCCATATGGGATCCTGGCATGTTCAAGGCGAGGACTTTAGCTGCTAGGCCACGCCGCAGGGCCCTAATTAGGTGTTTTAAGATTTTTTTTTTCAGATAGAATGAACAAAATTGAAAAGAAAAAAAAAAAAAGCTCTTCATTTGGAAGTAATTATTGGCCCCCTGGAAGCCTGGCCCCAAGGTCCAGTATGGATCTGAGTGACAGTGGCATTGCCCAGTAACGGTCAGGAGGTGTGGCCATTGCCACACGGAGAGACTGCCCTGTTGACCCTTGGGGTCTCGTCTGTGATAGCAGCTGGGCTTCCCTGCCTGGTCTGCCCGGCTGGACCTGGGATGACATCATCTTTTCTGACCCCCAGGTTCGTGCTTTATCCGAACTGACCAGCTGGATGGTGAGACCGACTGGAAGCTGAAGGTGGCTGTGAGCTGCACGCAGCGGCTCCCAGCGCTGGGGGTGAGTTACCCTGTGCCGCTCTGCCCTCTCTGGGGTAGGGGTGGGGTGTCCCTAGACGGTGAGCACAACTCAGAATGTGCAGTGTGTCTTTACTCTGCATAAAGGGTCATTAACAGTCACCAAGGCATCTTGAGGGGTCTGAGTGTCACCTGTGCACACAGCTTTGATGGTTGGCTTGCTGCTGTGGTCTCCCTCCAGACATTCCCCGACCCCGAGAAGTGATCTGTGAAACAGCTCTGGGCAAAGCGTAGGAGGATCCCTAAGTGTTCACTGCTTGGGGGATCCAGAATTGGTGCTGACTCGGTGCTCCCCAGTGCTGTCTGAGCAGAGAGAGCCTTTTCCTCACCAGGGAGATGTCATCGTCGCTGTGCCCTTGACCTGGGGGTGGAAGCAGAGAGGCAGTGTTGCTGCACCTCACGGCTCTCGGGGCTGGCCACGCAGGGCTGCCCGCCTGGCTCTGAACAGCGCCCGGTGTGCCCTTCCCCAGCACCTGTGTTTCGTGGCTGTATGGTCCTGCTCTGTGCATGGGAGGCTGTTGAGAGGAGCTGAGGGGTATAGCAGGTGTGGGCAGTGACTTCTCCAGAGTGCGTACTCGCCTTAAGGTGAGTGGAGCAGAAGGGGCCCTGACCTGCATGCAGCTGCTGATTCATTCCCTCACAGCAGGAACGTGTTGTTCATGAAGCCTCAGCCATGTTTTGAGACCCACGTGGTCCGTAACTTGGACTCATGCTCTTGTGAAGCCAGTTGGACCATCCTAAGTTTGTTACTTAGCACGTTTCTGTCCTCACACGTGCCACATGCATGCTGTTGTGTAAGCAGCATCCTCCTGTCCTGCTCCTTGTGCCTTTTACAGCCGTTTCAAGTGAGAAGTGCATTGCCTGTCAAACATCTGAGAATGCATGCCAGCCAGCTTGACCACAACTCACAGCTCTTGTGGTCAAGCTAGCCTGGCAGTCTCCCACTTCCGTGTCCTTGCTAGGGTTGAATTCCTGCCCCGTGGCTTGCTCTCAACTCTGCCTGGTATGTGCGTGTTTGCTCACTGCAGGTACACAGGCGTGTGTGTGGAACCTGCCAGCACACAGTCTGGATTCGTGTTTGTGACTGTTCATACCCAGAGACACTGTTAGGTCTTCTGGTACCTCCCGCTACCAGATGGGCTGCTGCAGTCCCCAGGTAGAAGTGTTTGTAAAATGTTCTGAATTGTGCAAAACGCCATTGTGGAGCAGGATTCTGCAGTCAAGGCCAGATGGAGCATGCTGGTCTGTGACTGTTAGAATGTGGGCCCAATGAGGGAAGGCAGATTGTCCTACACCAGTCCGTGTGGGACATGGAGAGCCTGGCGTGCTGCTGACTGCCCTGTTGCCTGTGACAGGAATAGTGGCAGGCCAGGTTGCAGTGCTGTGGCCTGGTGCAGCGTGCGGAGAAGGTGTGCAGCAGCTGCAAGCCCAGGGCAGTTTCCCTGGAATCTGCGGGTGGCTTTGCAGGGTGAAAGAGCCATTAAAACAACGCTGCAGCGGCTGGGAGCAAGTCCATCTCTTCTTGCCAGCATTTGTTGTTACCTTTTTTTATGTTAAATCTTTCTGACAGTTGTGGATTAATTCCTGATTGTGCTTTTCATTTGTGTTTCTGTGACGTTTGCTCTGGCTGAAGCTGCCATGTGCTCTCAACTCCCCCTGTGTGGCCTCTGGGGTGACTTCTGGTGGCTGCCAGGAGTCCCCCAAATCTGTGACTGTGTGATAGTGTTGTGCACATGGGAACATCTGAGCTGGGATGCTACTGTCCATGGGGCAGGCCCCTGTCTCTTTGCCCTGCACTGCTACACTGGCTGACACCTCCAGTGCGGGCGGCAGGCTTCAGGGAGGCAGGAGGCCAATGGTGGTGGACTTGCCAAGTGCCTGTGCAGGTTGAGGAAGGCCTTTCTGTCCTCATGTGGTACACAGCATCAGATGTTTTTTGCATCGACTGAGACCATCTTGTGTGTTTTTCCCCTAGCCTCTGATGACGTACACTTGATGCTGGCTCATGTAGCATCATGTTAAACTTGTGTCCTCAGGCAAGCTCATCTCTCCAAGCCTTGTCTTTGTCGCACTGCAAGACTGCACTTGCTGATGCATTGTTAAGGATCCCGTATGCTGATACACCTGTTAAGGAGGGTGTTTAGGGATGGCTCTAGTTTGCCTCTTGGTGTGGTATCCAGGGTGTGCTTGCCTCCTAAAAGGCATGGGACATCTTTGGCCACTTACTGTCATGTAGTTTGTATGTTTAACAGATTCATACTTAAAATTCACCCTTAGTCACCCATTTTTTGGTTTGTGTGTATGTGTTTTTTTTTAAAGACTTATGTATTTATTTGAAATGCAGAAAGCGAGTGAGCAAGTGCTTCTCTCTGCTAGTTTATTACACAAATAGCTGCAGCGGTCAGCACTTGACTAGCCCAAAGCCAGGAGTTGGGAAGTTCATCCAAGTCACCAAAAGAAGGGCAGGCCCAGGACCTGGGCTGCCCACTGCAGCTTTCCCAGGCCCATCAGCAGGGAGCTGGGCCATCCACTGCAGCTTTTCCAGGCCCAGGACCTGAGCTGCCCTCTGCAGCTTTCCCAGGCCCATCAGCAGGGAGCTGGGCCGTCCACTGCAGCTTTCCCAGGCCCGTTAACTGGGAGCTAGGCCTGCCTCTGCAGCTTTTCCAGGCCCAGGACCTGGGCTGCCCTCTGCAGCTTTCCCAGGCCCATCAGCAGGGAGCTGGGCCGTCCACTGCAGCTTTCCTAGGCCCGTTAACTGGGAGCTGGGCCGTCCACTGCAGCTTTTCCAGGCCCAGGACCTGGGCTGCCCACTGTAGCTTTCCCAGGCTCATCAGCAGGGAGCTGGGCTGTCCACTACAGCTTTCCCAGGCCCGTTAACTGGGAGCTGGGCCGGCCTCTGCAGCTTTCCTAGGCCCAGGACCTGGGCTGCCCTCTGCAGCTTTCCCAGGCCCATCAGCAGGGAACTGGGCCGTCCACTGCAGCTTTTCCAGGCCCAGGACCTGAGCTGCCCACTGTAGCTTTCCCAGGCTCATCAGCAGGGAGCTGGGCTGTCCACTGCAGCTTTCTCAGTCCAAAAACACAACTCCCATTTCTGGACCACTGACTCAAAAGGTTGTGTGGTTAATAGGTAACTGTGGTGAAGGAACACATTATAATTTTTAATATGAGTATAAAACCAAAAAGCAGTACATAAAAAAAGAAATTAGATTTCTGATTTTTTTATTATTTAAATTTTTGACTTCATATAATCTTATTTATTATGACTCTTTGTCATTCATGCAAAACTCTGATTCTTTGGTAGATTCAGGCGAGACAGCTTGCTTTGCCCCTCCAGCCAGGAGCTGTGTAGTTGTCTCATTTCTGCTTCCATGTCTTCTGTGGACACAGGGTGTGTTCTGTGATGGTGCACTGGGTGTCGTCTCACACTTTCATTCACTTGTGGTCCCTGTGGCAGGAGTGAGGCACCGCTGAGAACCTGTACTGCTCTTGGGGTCAGGGAAGAGAGTAGGTTTCTTGCTATTTGGCTGTCGGCAAGTGCGCGTGGACAGTTGGGAAATGGGCTTTTGCCTTTTGTGATCAAGTCTATTTATTAACAACCGGGAGGCCACAGGAATTTTCAATAAATCATGACTTGCTGATTTATTTCAAAAGATCCATATAGCAGTAAACAATACCATTTACATTTAATTAGTTTTATTGACCAAAAGGCCATCGTATTGGTAATGAACCACCTGTTATGATTAAGGGTGTATTTGAATGGCCTGTAAAGGATGCAAACAAATGTTGCCCTTGACCAGATGGCACAGGCTTCCCTACGTTATTGAAAACTTGAGAAACATTTCTAAATGATCATGGAAAGCGTCCAATGACATTCTCATTATTATGCTGTTAGTCAGTCATTTGATGTCCAATATGTAGATGAAGCACTCCCCTGTCAGGGCTGGTGCATGGAGACATGAGGGCCGCGGCTACCCATGGCCAGCGGGTTCCAAGTGGCAAGCTGGTGTTTCCTGGACGGGTGGCTCCCACACATCCCTTTGGCTCTGTCCTTGATATCCTAATAGTGTTTCTCTCTGGTGTAAACCTATTGACTGAATGAACTTGACATGGGTCTTTTCTGGCTCCTGCCTAGTCTGAGCTGCACTCTCCAGAGGGACGCGCAGGGGCCTGCCCTCCACCCACCTCTCCCCATGTCTGTTCCCTGAAGGACAGAATGAGCCTTCAGAGACTGCCTGCTCTCTTGCAGGCTCTGGGGCAGAGGACAAGTTGCCTTCCTGCCGGCAGGGCTCTTGTGCAGCTAGTGCTCTTTCTGCTGCCCCTCAGCTTCCGGGCTGTGCGCAGTGGTCACAGCTGGCTCAGTCACCCTGGTCTTGAGCTCCATCTTGTATCAGTCTCTTCCATGGAAGGTGATGTTGATAATATCCTGACAGTCATGCGCTCTGTTCCTTGATGTTGGGAGCGCCATGCCCTGCACGTTGTTCCCTTTCTGGTTGGTCCTAGAGTGGGAGGACCACGTGGCATAGTGGGTCCGTCACACATTGGAGCACCGGTAGTCCATATTGCTTATATGGACTCTGCTTGAGTCCTGGTGACTGTGTTAGCAGTCCAACTTCCTACTAATGTGCATCCTGGAAAGACTAGGATACCCAAATTAGATCCCAGCTCCTAATGTTAGCTTGGCCCACACCTGGATGTTGTAGGTAGAAGATGGATTGATCCCTCTGTGTGTATGTATGCATGTATGTGAGTGTGTGAGTGAGTGGGTGTGTCTGTGTGTGTGAGTGGGTGTGTCTGCGTGTGTGTGTGTGTGTTTGCGCATCTCAGATAAGTTGGAACGAAAAGGCAAGAGTGGCCATCTAGCCTGCACTGAAATGTGACCAGTGCACTGCAGGTTGAGAGATTGTCCCCTCCATTCGCCAGCTAAGTTGTGGGAGTCTCAGACAAACCCTGGGGTCCCAGCAGCTGCCCTGCCTCTGTGCTGGCCAAAGCAGAAGGGGAGGTGGACACAGTGAGAGCTTGTGGCTGGGCTCCTTCCCAGCCCATCCAGCGTCATGGTCAGCTACAGTGTGAAGGCATATGTCCTTCAGTTGGAGGGCCCCTGTTCATGTGCAGTTTGGAAGTGCAGATGGACAAGGAGCTGGGCAGACCCTCCCACTGCCATCCTTCGAGGTTGTTTGCTGGGTGGGTGGAAGCAGGGTAGCCCCCCGCAGTTGCCCTTGCTTGCAGTCTAACCACATTTACGGAATCCTTCAGGAAGCTCGGAGCTTGCAGTGTTCCTGACTCGGCTTCCCTAGAGGAAAGTGAAATGTAGACTGTGTTAGGGATGAAAGAAACGCCTGCTGCAGACTGAGTGTATTTGCTGTTGAGGAATATTTTCTGGAGCCAGCACTGTGGTGTGGCGAGTAAAGCTTGTGTCTGCAATCTGGTATCTGAGCAGGCACTGGTTCAAGTCCTAGTTGCTCCACTTCTGCTCTAGCTCCTGGTCAAAGCCCCTGGGAAAGCAGCAGAAGGGGACCAACGCCATGGGTTCCTGCACCCACATGGGAGACCCAGAAGAAGCTCCTGGTTCTGGACCAACCCAGCTCCAGCCACTGCTGCCACTTGGGGAATGAACCAGCGATGGAACACCTCCCTCTCTCCTCTCTCACTGTCCCTCCCTTTCTTCTTCCCCTCTCTCTCCACTACTCTGCCTTTCCAATAAATAAATCTTCAAAAGATATTGAATTTTTATGTTTTATTTATTTTTGATTGGAAAGGCAGATCAGATTTACAGAGAGACCGAGAGAAAGATCTTCCATCCACTTGGTTCACTCCTGTGGCTGGTGCTGAAACAATCTGAAGCCAGGAGCCAGGGGCTTCGTCCAGGTTTCCCACATTGGTGTAGGGTCCCAGGGCTTTGGGCCATGCTCTACTACTTTCCCAGGCCACAGCAGGGAGCTGAATGGGAAGTGGAGCAGCTGGGACATGAACTGGCACCCATATGGGATCCCGGCACTTGCAAGGTGAGGATTTAGCCATTGAGCCATTGCACCATGTCTTAGAATATTTTCTTTAAGTGACCAAATGTTGTACAACTCTGAGAATAGCTGACAGGAAAACATGCTGGCATCTTTGAATTCGTGTGCGCAGCCAGCAGGAAAGGGGCTGAGCCCAGAGGAGGTACCTGTTGTTGGACAGAGAGTGTAAGTCCAAGTGCCTGATACATTTTCAGAATGTGAGAGGGTGTTACAATACAGGTAGGAATAGAAGCCATGAGAAAATGTCGGCTGGAAGAAAGAAAACCTCTAAAAATAGGTAAGCTTGATGAAAAAAATAAGTGGGAGTGGAAAGCATGTTGTTGTGTGCTGCTGAGAGTAGAGAGCATGTTGTTGAGTGTTGCTGAGAGTGGAAAGTATGTTGTGTGTTGCTGAGAGTGGAAAGTGTGTTGTGTGTTGCTGAGAGTAGAGAGCGTGTTGTTGAGTGTTGCTGAGAGTGGAAAGTGTGTTGTGTGTTTTGAGAGTGGAGAGCATGTTGTTGTGTGTTGCTGAGAGTGGAGAGCATGTTGTTGTGTGTTGCTGAGAGTGGAAAGTGTGTTGTGTGTTGCTGAGAGTGGAAAGTGTGTTGTGTGTTGCTGAGAGTAGAGAGCGTGTTGTTGAGTGTTGCTGAGAGTGGAAAGTGTGTTGTGTGTTTTGAGAGTGGAGAGCATGTTGTTGTGTGTTGCTGAGAGTGGAAAGTGTGTTGTGTGTTGCTGAGAGTGGAGAGCATGTTGTTGTGTGTTGCTGAGAGTGGAAAGTGTGTTGTGTGTTGCTGAGAGTGGAAAGTGTGTTGTGTGTTTTGAGAGTGGAGAGCATGTTGTTGTGTGTTGCTGAGAGTGGAAAGTGTGTTGTGTGTTGCTGAGAGTGGAGAGCATGTTGTTGTGTGTTGCTGAGAGTGGAAAGTGTGTTGTGTGTTGCTGAGAGTGGAGAGCATGTTGTTGAGTGTTGCTGAGAGTGGAGAGCATGTTGTTGTGTGCTGCTGAGAGTGGAGAGCGTGTTGTTGTGTGTTGCTGAGAGTGGAAAGTGTGTTGTGTGTTTTGAGAGTGGAGAGCGTGTTGTGTGCTGCTGAGAGTGGAGAGTGTGTTGTTGTGTGTTGCTGATAGTGGAGAGTGTTGTTGTGTGTTGCTGAGAGTGGAAAGTGTGTTGTGTGTTTTGAGAGTGGAGAGCGTGTTGTTGAGTGTTGCTGAGAGTGGAAAGTGTGTTGTGTGTTTTGAGAGTGGAAAGTGTGTTGTGTGTTTTGAGAGTGGAAAGTGTGTTGTGTGTTGCTGAGAGTGGAAAGTGTGTTGTGTGTTTTGAGAGTGGAGAGCGTGTTGTGTGCTGCTGAGAGTGGAGAGTGTGTTGTTGTGTGTTGCTGATAGTGGAGAGTGTTGTGTGTTGCTGAGAGTGGAAAGTGTGTTGTGTGTTGCTGAGAGTAGAGAGCGTGTTGTTGAGTGTTGCTGAGAGTGGAAAGTGTGTTGTGTGTTTTGAGAGTGGAGAGCATGTTGTTGTGTGTTGCTGAGAGTGGAGAGCATGTTGTTGTGTGTTGCTGAGAGTGGAAAGTGTGTTGTGTGTTGCTGAGAGTGGAAAGTGTGTTGTGTGTTGCTGAGAGTAGAGAGCGTGTTGTTGAGTGTTGCTGAGAGTGGAAAGTGTGTTGTGTGTTTTGAGAGTGGAGAGCATGTTGTTGTGTGTTGCTGAGAGTGGAAAGTGTGTTGTGTGTTGCTGAGAGTGGAGAGCATGTTGTTGTGTGTTGCTGAGAGTGGAAAGTGTGTTGTGTGTTGCTGAGAGTGGAAAGTGTGTTGTGTGTTTTGAGAGTGGAGAGCATGTTGTTGTGTGTTGCTGAGAGTGGAAAGTGTGTTGTGTGTTGCTGAGAGTGGAGAGCATGTTGTTGTGTGTTGCTGAGAGTGGAAAGTGTGTTGTGTGTTGCTGAGAGTGGAGAGCATGTTGTTGAGTGTTGCTGAGAGTGGAGAGCATGTTGTTGAGTGTTGCTGAGAGTGGAGAGCATGTTGTTGTGTGTTGCTGAGAGTGGAGAGCGTGTTGTGTGTTGCTGAGAGTGGAAAGTGTGTTGTGTGTTTTGAGAGTGGAGAGCGTGTTGTGTGCTGCTGAGAGTGGAGAGTGTGTTGTTGTGTGTTGCTGATAGTGGAGAGTGTTGTTGTGTGTTGCTGAGAGTGGAAAGTGTGTTGTGTGTTTTGAGAGTGGAGAGCGTGTTGTTGAGTGTTGCTGAGAGTGGAAAGTGTGTTGTGTGTTTTGAGAGTGGAAAGTGTGTTGTGTGTTGCTGAGAGTGGAAAGTGTGTTGTGTGTTTTGAGAGTGGAGAGCGTGTTGTGTGCTGCTGAGAGTGGAGAGTGTGTTGTTGTGTGTTGCTGATAGTGGAGAGTGTTGTTGTGTGTTGTGTTGCTCAGAATGTAGGACTGGGTTGGTTTATGGGACTCATGGCCATGGACTTGGGGACCAGTCCTTTCGGGGTCCCCAGGACAGCCTGCCCCTGCTTCCTGTGCTGGTTTGTGCTGTGTCCACTACTGGGGACAGCTCGTTAACTCCTCACCTCTCTTGCTCTTGTCTTGCCGTGGCTTGTCTTACCCAGGAAGAACCCCCTGTGTGTGCCACACCTCTGCTGGCATGGGATGTGTGCAGCATGGCATCATCCCAGGCAGCAGCTCCATCGAAGGGATAGCACAGCCCCAGTCTGGTTTTTTGTGTGTCTAGAAATTATGTCATCAAGCTGATTAATGATACAGGAAAACTGGATTCTGTTACATTCTAATGAACAACAATGGGATTTTTTCTGTTCAGTTGTTTCCTGGTTTTTTAATTCATTTAGTTGAGCTGGACTGCTTGAACTTGCTCAAAACAGAGGTGCTGCAGGCTGAGCTGGAGATTACATAGACAGAAGAGGCCCTTGATGGGGGCACTGTGTTTCCACTCTTCCTTTGCTGCTGCTGAGGACACCACTGTACCTTGACCTCTGCTTCTCTGTGTTAGGCATCTCTGGTTTCCGCCTGAGGTGTGGCACGGTATGGCATATTATGTACTTGCCTTCATATGGGAGAGAAGCCATGGCCTCACAGAGAGTGGGCAGCTCTGCGGCCATACCTGTCAGGCCCACTCCAGCTGTAGTGACTTGTCAGAGGTGCAGGTGACTGAAGTGCAGTCGGAAGTTTAGCCACTTCTGCTTTCAGCTGCAGCTGCTCAGGAACACTGTGACCTGTTCACAACGACACTGTCCTGGATGTGATGGGCAGTCACCATCCTGAAGACCTGCCCTCCCAGCTGGCAGCTTTGGCTCGAGCCACAGGCCAGGACCTCAGGAGTCAGGATGGAGGGCCGAGAGGGCTGTCTCTGGAGAACCGCCCTGAGGAGAATAGGCCCTGGTCTGGGGTGGATTCCACTGGCTCCTCTGGCTCTGATGCTATGAGTCTGTGCTCTTAGTGGGGCCAGCACAAGCTCTGGCAGACTGGGTCCCTGAGTCAGGCCCAGCCTGCCTTGTCAAGTGCAGTGCCAGCCTTGTCTGTCACAGCTGTACCTCCAGAGACGTGCGTGACAGGTGCTTGAAGAGTCACCAACTGCCACCTACTGTGGTTGAGGGGTGGCACTGCCAAGAGAAACTGCCACCTTGCGTGGAGCTTCAGCTTGGTGTGTGTTATAGTCCATAGAGTTGGCACACAGAACCAAAGAGAATAATTAGCAACTGAAAATGTGCAGGTGCTTCGCACATGAGGCTACGACTGACTGAGGCATTCTGTGTTGCAGGACCTCTTCTCTATCAGCGCCTATGTTCACGCTCAGAAGCCACAGCTGGATATCCACAGCTTTGAGGGCACCTTTACCAGGGTGAGTCAGCAGCCGCTGGGCACCACAGTTGTCTGGCTAGCTGGCTATATCTTTAACATACCATCCTTTGTTTTTTCACACTTATTTTTTATTTTACATACAGGGTGGAGAGCAAAAAAAAGAGAAAGATGCCCCATTTTGTGGTTCACTCCCCAACTGCCTACAGGTACCAGGGCTCGTTCCAGGCCTCCCTGTTGGGGTGGCAGAGCCCCGGCACCATCTGCACATGAGCAGGAAGCCGGGACTGAGCCCAGGCTCCCCTCGGGGAGCATCGTCTCAATTAGGATCACAGCTGCTGGGCCAAGTGCCTGCTCCCCAGACTGTCGTTTGGAGAATAATGCTGTGAAGAACAGACTCCAGCAACAAGCTGTTGATTCGAAAGATAGTAGTAGAGAGGTAGACCAGAGATCTCTCATGTGGTGGCAGATAGCTACGACAACCAAGTGGATGGAAGATCTTTCTCTCGGTCTCTCTGTAAATCTGATCTGCCTTTCCAATCAAAAATAAATAAAACATAAAAATTCAATATCTTTTGAAGATTTATTTATTGGAAAGGCAGAGTAGTGGAGAGAGAGGGGAAGAAGAAAGGGAGGGACAGTGAGAGAGGAGAGAGGGAGTGTTCCATCGCTGGTTCACTCCCCAAGTGGCAGCAGTGGCTGGAGCCGGGCTGGTCCATGGAAGCAGGTTGCTGCACTCTGTGTCTCCCTGCAGGGCTGTCTGTGTGGCTGTCTCTGTGGCTGTGTGTGTTTGCTGTTCGGGCCCGCCACTAGCAACCTGCAGCTTCATTTGCATTTTGCTTAGTGAAAAATAATCGAAGTCATGATCTTTCTTAGCAGAATTTACAAGAAGTGGCATCTGTCTACATATCCTGTACATGTGTGTGTGCACATGTGCTGAAAGGACACGGCACACCACAAGCCAGGGCCGGGGGAAGGGAGTTGGCTGGGTACGTGATGCAGTCCAGCAGGTGCTATTCCCATTCCAAGAATGTTGTTTGGTCAACTCTTTGAAGATTCGGTTTTAGTTCACTCTTAAATTACAAGAGCATGTATTTATTATGGAAATTTAAAAAGATTTCATTAAGATTAAATTTTGGAAACAAGGAAATGTATACTTATAGTTGAAATAAAGATTTAAAAGATTTATGTATTTATTTGAAAGATATGGTGACAAAGAGAAAACGAGAAATACAGAAAGATAAACTTCCACCTGCTGGTTCACTTCCCAGGTGACAACAAGCAGGTCTGCACCAAGCTGGAGACAGGAGACAGGAGCCAGGAGCTCCGTCGTGATTTCCCACGTGGGTGACAGGGTCATCACGGTGCCAAGCCACCAGCCACTGCCCTCTCGGACATGGCACAGCAGCTGGGGCCAGGGGCCAGCTACGACTTGGAGGACGCTCTGTTGCATATGCTTCACTGTGGGGCCCAACACCAGTTTCTTTCACTACTTTTTACTTCTAAACTTTGATTTTACAGTGCATTTTCAATGCTGTTCAGTTGGATCGAAGTGTGGATGTGTTTCTCACACTGTGGATATCTAAAGTCTGCGTAATTTTAAAAAGAGATAATTTGCAGTTTTGGTTTTTTTCTCCCTGCACAGGAAGATTGTGACCCACCTGTTCATGAAAGCCTCAGCATAGAAAATACACTGTGGGCCAGCACTGTGGTTGCCTCAGGTGAGAAACCTCTGTGACACAGGTGACACTGCGTTGTCGGGGCCTTGTGGGACCTGATTCCTGTTCAGAAGCGGGGACGAAGCCTCGTGCAGGCCACCTGCTGCCCATTGGAGGAGGCAGGGGGGAAGGGCAGGCACCTTCTATTGAATTTGTGTGTTGCTAGATTCAGCCTGTGCCCTAGTCAGGGGTGGCATGGCGTGGGGTGGCGTGACGTGGCAGCACTGGAGAGCCCAGTGATCGTGGTCCGTGGCTTTTTCTCCCCTGTCCATTCACTCAGCAAGGATGGGAGGAGGAGAGTGTGCCTGGGGTGACTTTGGGAAAAAAAAGAGTTAGAGGAAGTTGAGTGGTCGGGGAAATAGGTGTCGCAGGCTTTCGGATGCAGGGCAGGAATTGTGGGTTGGAGTGGCTCAGTGTTTGAAAAGGAAGCTGAATCTCTATGGGAAGCATTGAAGCTGTGCATGGTTATCACCATGTCAGCAATGAGCTGATGCTGGCTGAGACACACTGCGGAGCTGGTAGGTGTGAGTGGGTGCTGATGCTGCAAGGAAGGATGCCCGGTGGAGGGCACTGGTCGGCAGCACGGCCCAGCTCAGCCCAGGACGTGCTTGGTGTCCTCAGAGGCAGGCAGGTCTTTGCTTCTGAGTCCGGAGGAATCTTCCCAGTCACCCTGGCGAGGCTTGTTCCCCCAAGAAGCCCATGAGCATGTCCTTTTTCCAGTCCTGAGGCCATGGGTCGTCCAAGCCTAACCTGCGGTCAGGCAGATGGCCGGCAGCAGCCCTGCTGCCTGGGTTGGCAAAGGTTGGAAGACACTCAGAGTAGTCCCTGGGAGCACACCGCCACATTGGCATCAAGCCTTGGGAGGCTGGAGTTCATTGCCTTTTGCCTGAGAGATGCTGAGGTGACTGAGCCGTGGCTTCCTGTGGCCACGATGGTGTTCTGATGCCCATTCCCTAGAGCACTGATTGTGACCTTTGGCGACAACAGGAGCCAGTGCTTGCTTGTGCACGTCCTGGCCCCTACTCAGTTTCCTTCCATGTGTGGTGTGTGGTGCCAGTGCTGCTGGGGGTGCCTTGCATGGCTGCAGTGTTAGTTAGTGTCTGGATGCCTGTCCTCTTCGATGTCTGCCGCCTTGTTTAAAGATACTGTTGGAGCGAGTTCCTGGCTGGAAGACCTGTGAGGTGTTAGGAGCATCTGGCAGGTTCCTGATGCCTTTGGGTTGATGACAAGTTGAAAACGTTTTATTTTCTGTTTTCTGTTTTGTGCTTTAGAAGTTCCCTCAATGAAGTTGGGTTGGCTGTTGGAACCAAGGGGACCTACAGAGGACTCCTACAGGCTTACAGGCCGCTTCCCTCCTGGGTCAGAGCAGGTCAGGTCCTGAGAACCCCTAGGGCGGTGGTGGTTACTGGAGGGGTGCCCTGAGCCTGGTTCCACACTTCCCCAAGCCTCCAGCCAAGGGCTGTCAGCGGTGTTCCTGCTCTGGGTGAATTCAGTGGTTGGGATGAACCCTGGCCATGTTGCCGCCCTTCCCTCACAGTTTGGGAAGCCGCCCCTCTAGAGGAAGGTCAGTGAGCATGTGGATGGCCTGGCAGGAGAGCCCCATCCCATATGGAGTCACACATCCCGAAGTGACTGATGAGAATGGGCAGTGGAATTGGGCCTGGGCACAGAGGCCATGGGACACAGTCCCAGTGACAGCATGGGCCCTTCCTCCAGGAGCGATCATATTGTTCCCAGAGAGATTCTGGGGCAACAAATCCTGCTGTTAGCCTCATGACGGCTATTGATGTCCCCAGTGTGTACAACAGACACCTGTGTGCAGGCTGTGTCCCCACTGTGTGCAGGCTGTCTCCCCACTGTGTGTAACACACACCTGTGTGTAGGCTGTGTCCCCACTGTGTGCAGCACACACCTGTGTGTAGGCTGTCTCCCCACTGTGTGCAGGCTGTGTCCCCACTGTGTGCAGCACACACCTGTGTGCAGGCTGTGTCCCTGTATAGCCCAGACCCACGTGCTGAGCTCCTTGTTTGCGTCTTTGGTGTTAACTATTGGGCTAACCGCCCCCCCACCCTGGTCCAGCTGCAGTGGGCGTGAAACTCGGTGCTCTAGCGCACGCTACTTTCCCCAGTCTTGGCTGGCTGTATGTTTTGCTGTCAGGCCCAGGTTGCGCTCTGTGTGGGCAGCCTGTACCCTTAGATTGTGTTAGCGATGGCCCGGGAGAGCTGCGTGCTGTGTGCATTGTGGAACGGTGACTGTGGGTCCTAGTGGCGTTGCAGGGTGTCTCAGGTGCTTCGTGCATAGGCTGCAGTCACAGGTGCAGGCCAAGTGCCCTTTCTGTGCTCTGTGCAGCACAGGTGCACCTACAGTATCTGTTCACTTGGGCTTTTTTACAAATCGGTCTTGGATAAGCATTTCACAGTCCTTTTGATCTAAGGCATTAATCGTTTTGGTAAAGTACTTTGAGTTTTGTTTTTTGTCTGTATGTGTACAGTTTGGCGGGGAGGGGCCGCTTGACGTGAGGATTACAAGGTAACCCACTGAGATGTGACATCTGCTGATGAAGAGAATTACCAGGTGTTGTCCAAGAGGTTGTAAGAGCTGCATGGAGGCCGCTCTGTCTGCTCTGCTCACTGAACATTCTGTGGGTCTGAAATACTTTAAAAATGAAGACTTTTGTCCCATATATATATTTATTATATTATATATAGTCCCATTTATACATATATATATATATACATAGTTTAGCATTGGGATCATTTTTTTCTTAAAATGCAACCATACTTTTTTTTTAAGATTTATTTTGTTTTTATTGGAAAGACTTACAGAGGGAAAGGGAGAGACAGATCTGCCATCCATTGGTCACTCGCCAGATGACTAAGCAGCCCTGAGCTGGGCTGGTCTGAAGCTAGGAGCCAGCAGCTTGTTCTGGGTCTCATTGGTGCAGAGGTCAGCACACGTGGGCCGTCCTCCAGTGCCTTCCCAGGCACATCAGCAGGGAGTGGCATCAGAATTGGAGCAGCTGGGACTCAAACTGGTGCCCCTATGGGGATGCCAGTGCTGCAGGTGAAAGCTTAGCCTACTGCACCACAACCTCACTGTTGGGCATTTGCAAGATTTTGTAGTAGGGAGCTCTTGCTGGCTAGCAGATTACTCTTTTATTCAAGCAGAGTATTGACTGAAAGGGAGTTTGAAATCCCAGGGCTGATCTGAACGATGACCACAGTGGGGTGGTGAGGGGTCAGCAGAGCCGTGGTGAGCCAGGTCCGGCTGCTGAGCCTTGTGTGTGCACTTGTTTCTGTGGATTTCTCACCAGCCGTGACAATGACCGACTCCAGAGGTGCAGCCCTCCTGAAAGCAAAAACTGTGTGCTGAAGGGAGTTACGTCCCCGCTGTCCTTGGGGACTGCAGAAGGGACTCCTTGTTCCTGCTTGTGCTGTGAAAAAATAAGCAGAATCCTGGATTTATGTCTGTCCTGATACAGAAACTTGTCAAGTTGGAACTAGTGGGAGGAGGGCTTAATTTTAAAGTGTAGATGAAATTTATCATCCCATTTAAGTATTTCATTGACTGGGAGATAATTGTGTGTCTGCCCATCCTGGCCTCTGTTCCGAGACGCACTGGGAGTGCAGTCTCGTCCCTCGGGGCCGCACCGTACAGGTGCACAGAGAGCTCCTTCCCTTCTCCTGGCCTGTCTGTACTGTTAGCCACCCATCACCCGCTGTCCAGGAAAGTGTCCCTGCACTGCTTGGCACCAGGACTGTGGATGAGCGCCTGGGTGCTGTACGTGGGCGCCTCATGGGTGGCATGTTTCCTGTTAGTTACCCGCTTATTTCCCACATCTGTGTAGCCACTGACTGCCCCCTGCCTCAGCCACCCTGCCTCCATCCTGATGGCTGATGGCTTCACAGAGACCTGTGCGGTTTTACTGATATCAGCATGTGAATGTATTTTCAGTCGGCCTTGTCATGTTACTGTGGTTATTCGGCATTCACGATGATGTTGTGTTTGAGGTCAACTCATTTGGCAGAGTTGGAAACAACTGTCAGAGTGTGTTTAAAATTTTGTTTCATGGATGTGGAACTTTGGACCTCAGCTTTTTAAAATCTTTTAGTATCACTGCTACCCTAAATGCTGTGATCCCATGCAGGAAGTTTACATGTGCTATTGTAGAAAGGCTGTACCCGTCTGCCAGTTGAGGGCAAGCACACCTCTCGGGGACGTCCTGACCCACTGGGTGGGCTGTGCCCGTCTGCCAGCTGTGAGCGAGCACGCCTCTCGGGGATGTGCTGACCCACTGGGTGGGCTGTGCCCGTCTGCCAGCTGTGAGCGAGCACGCCTCTTGGGGACGTGCTAACCCACTGGGTGGGCTGTGCCCGTCTGCCAGCTGTGAGCAAGCACGCCTCTTGGGGATGTGCTGACCCACTGGGTGGGCCATGCCCGTCTGCCAGCTGTGAGCGAGCATGCCTCTCGGGGATGTGCTGACCCACTGGATGGGCCATGCCCGTCTGCCAGCTGTGGACGAGCACGCCTCTCGGGGACGTGCTGACCCACTGGGTGGGCTGTGCCCGTCTGCCAGCTGTGAGCGAGCACGCCTCTCGGGGATGTGCTGACCCACTGGGTGGGCTGTGCCCGTCTGCCAGCTGTGGACGAGCACACTTCTCGGGGACGTGCTGACCCATTGGGTGGGCCGTGCCCATCTGCCAGCTGTGGACGAGCACGCCTCTCGGGGATGTGCTGACCCATTGGGTGGGCCGTGCCGATCTGCCAGCTGTGGACGAGCACACTTCTCGGGGACGTGCTGACCCACTGGGTGGGCCGTACCCATCTGCCAGCTGTGGACGAGCACGCCTCTCGGGGGTGTGCTGACCCACTGTCTGTGCCCGTGTGCCACGTGGTTAGTAGGAAGATTGCTGTGGACGTGCTGAGCCAGAGCGCCCACCTCCGTGGGGCCAGGTGGTTAGGAAGAAGACTGTGCTCTCAGTGTTAGTGCCAAGCGGCACTGGAGCTTCTTTTGCCTTCCTGGCTTTCTGGGAGGAAGCTGGAGGTGCCTGACAACTGTGAGGCATGTAGCCAGTGCCTCCATAGCAGGCCGGCAGTAGCCATCGTGCTTCCGGAGCTTGACAACTGGGTGGCCACCTGGCCCTTGACCAGTGATGGAGTGCAGGGTTGTGGTTCTGATGCCTGGTGCTGATGCCCAGGGTAGGCTCGCATGACTGGATCACTTCCACCAGCATGGCAGACCTTGCCTGACGTCCTGGTGTCTGGCTGTAGCCTGGCCCAGCCCCAGCTGCTGTGGGCATCTGGGAGGTGAGCTAGAAGATAGAACATTCTGTCTCTCCCCTGCTCTTCTCCATTTTTTTCTCTCTCCCTGGTTTTCAGTTTTTTTAAAAAATCCATGGAAAATGAAACTGAAAACTTTGGTGTATGTTTGGAAGCACATCCATCTTTTAGAGAACAGATCCTGTGAACCTGTCCAGGTGTTTGACGGTCTGTGCTCTGCATGTACAATTAAAGAACCTGTTTACCATGGATGTACTTGGAAGAGACTGACATAGTATTATATGTGCTAGTTGTGTGCGCCCTGACGTGATGGCGAACAGCTCCCATCCTGGTTCCAAGGGCTCCGCGGCTCTGCACAGCGGAAGTGGGGCCTGAGGGAGTCCCGGCTGCACACAACGGAAGTGGGGCCTGAGGAGGTCCCCAGCTGCGCACAGCAGAAGTGGGGCCTGAGCAGGTCCCCGGCTGCACACAGCGGAAGTGGGGCCTGAGGAGGTCCTGGCTGTCTATAGCGGAAGTGGGGCCTGAGGAGTTCACATGCTGCATTTGGCTCCTTAGGAGCACAGCTTCTCAGTTGAGTTTCAGCAGTCATTTTGGGAGACATCAAGGAATGGCCACCTCACGTTTCCGTCTCAGGCGAGAGGACGACGTGGTCTAAGCTCTAAGTAGGGAGATTTGTACTGCTTAGCAATCATTAGGTTGTCTTGAAGTAGCTATGTTGAATACTATTGGGTAAATTTATATGAAGTCAAATCATGTGATATTTTCCGTAAAAGCAGTTAAGTGGAAAGTGTTATGTCTGCTCCCCTTGACAGTATTTCTATAAGGACCGCTTTCATATCTTTGCAGGTACTGTAATAGGTGTTGTCATTTATACTGGAAAGGAGACTCGAAGTGTAATGAACACATCCAATCCCAAAAATAAGGTAGGCTAGCTGAGGGGCGACGGCTCCACTGCACTGCTGCTCCTTTCCACAGCAAAGTCCTGGTAGTTCTGGCTAGCTCACCCCAAATGCAACATGCAAAGAGACCTTCCACAAGGTTTTGCTGTAAGATGGGAGTTCTCTGTATTTATATGACAACATTCTGACAACTGTCTTGTCTAATCAGATTTTTATGTGTCTTAAATTTGCATTGTTAGATATATAATTTCCCCATAATTTGAGTTAATTGTGGGTCTCTAATTTCTTATCTTCAATCTACTTATTTTATAGTTTGCACCCTTTATTTTTATGTTCATGGTTCATTTTTGAAATAATCATTATTAATGTCTTATACTGTTTAATTGGATAATGTTAGTTATATTGTTAAGCCATTTTTATTTCCATTTTAGAAGAAGCATGTTGGAAAACAAATTTGAGCTTTAAAGATGGCTTCATTATACCCTAAACACGTCTCTGCAGTTGTTGTGGATGCCAGGGTATGTGTGTGAGAGCGGAATCTGACGAGGCTGCAGGCAGCACAGGAGGCACTGTCGGATGGCACATTTCCTGGTCCAGGCCAGCGTGCCCCACTGAGGTGTTGCACGTTGTCAGGACTATCCGTGTTATTTCAAATATAGTGTTTGTGTCTTGAAGCAGAACGGAAGTTCTTGTGTGGGTTTATGCCTGACTCTGTGACTGGCGAGCTTCAGCGGAGTGGGATGACCCTTGCAAAGGCTACAAGTAGGACAGGAGTTAGCCTTGAACCTAGGCAGCTGGCTGCATGACTCCTGCCTTGCCCGAGCATCAGTGGGACTGTGCAAGGGGCTACCGCCCTCTCCTCATGAGCACCAGCTGGGCCCATCCCTGAGCTTTGGAAGGAGTGCAGCTCACACCAAGTAAAACCACTTGAAATTGCATCTGAAAAGCACAGTGACCTTTTTTCTATTGCTTGAGCAAGCTAGAATATTCTAGCATGTCTACAAGTTCAGAGTGTTTTCATGCTCACCAGTCAGAGTGGCAACCCAAAAGGGAGGTCCCCACTGTTTCCCTTACTGCTCCCGCTCCCGGATCTTGCACTCTCCAGCTGTTTCTGTAGTTTAACTTGACAGAATTTGCCCGCTGTTCCAGCTGATGCCAGCTGATGCTGCGGCAAAGCTCAACCAATCCACATCCATTCTGGCTTATGCATACACCAGTATAAACAGTCAACCCAACCCGACTTTCCCCTGATCCAGCTCACATGAGGCCAACAGGTGTTGTAGCCTTGCCTGGCCTGATCAGCCCCCATCCCAACCCACACTCACCAGTGGGAGTAGTGACTCAGCAGGGGAGCCCCGTGCAACTCCCACTACTGGATTCTTCCCATCCCCACCTGGGTCTCCTGTGTGCTGGTTGGGTGCTGTGGTCCAGTCTGGCATGGCCCGCCTCACCTCGGCATTTGCTAGTGGGTGCTCAAGCCTGGCTGGGCCTGGCCCACCCCCAGTTTCAACTCACGCTGGTCGGGGGTTCAGCGCAGCGCAGCCCAGCCAGCCCCCAGTCCTGGCCCGACCCACACTCTGTTCTGGCTCTCAGTTTTGCTTGTGGGCCTGGTTTGCCCCGACGTGAGCCAAATGTTTGCTTGTGGGTACCATTCCCTGGCCTGGTTCGGGCTGCTCTCTGTCATGGTTCTTTTGCTTACCTGCAGGAACTGTGTCGCCACAGAAGTGTTGCCAAGCTCCTCCATCAGAACCTCTCTCGGTGCCAGATCTCACACACACACCGGTGGGTTCATGGACCGGCCCTACTTCATCCACCTTCTGTCCTAGCCACAACAGTGTCCTGTCCTGACTGGCCTTCACCCTTTCTGGTTTTTACTGTTGGGTGTTACAGCCCAGCCAAGCCTGGTCCACACCCAGACACAGCTCATGCCTGGCTCAGCAGGGACAGAGACCTGGCCTAGCTCATCTTATACCTACCCTGGTTCTCACAAGCACCAGTGGGTGCTAGTGTCTAGCCCAGTCTTGTACACGCCAGACACAGCCCCATTGTGCTGAGGAACACAGCAGCCATGCCCAGACTAGACAGCAGCCCCCTTTCTGGCCTTAGCACTCACCAGTGGAAACCACAACCCAGCCAGGCTGTACCCTTTTCTCCCCAACTAGATCTGTTCCCAGCCACAGATCTTGGGCGTGCCAGTGGTTGCTCTGACCCAGCTTGGCAACCCCCCCCCATATGTCTTTTTTCCTTAAACTTTGTTTTTGCACTTATTTATATTTGAGGGTAAATTTAATTTTAAATAATACATTTAATATATGAAAAGTTAAACAAAGTTTAATGTGACAAACTTTTCACCACATTTTTTAGTTTAACTTATTTCCTGTCATTTTTTTTTCTTTGATTGAGTTTCTACCTTATCACCTACTTTCTGCTTCCGTTAATCTTGGCTTGCTATGTTCTTTATATCTGGCCCATAGCTTCACCCCGTCTTTCCCCTGAGTGGCAGGGCCCAAATGTTTGGGTAATCTTACTCTGCTTTCCCAGTCCTATTATTAATAAAAGTGTGGTTATTTTTGCAATATTGATTTTTCTCACAGAAAACAGGTAAGAGCAACTAATCTGTCCCACAAAACTATCAGTGCATTCATTAGAAAGAATAGAGGACCTTGTTTTATAAAGCCAATGTGGAAGAAGGTGAATGGCTCTCCAGCAGTGATAAGTGTATGAGGTAGGAGTGCCTCACAGGAAGTGATGGACTCTTACATGGCCGCCGTGAAGATGCTGCCTGTGTGAAAATCAGAGCCTGGCTGTTCTACTTCTCATGCAGCTTCCTGTTGCTGTGCCTACGGTGCAGCAGTGACCCTAGCAGCGACTCAGCCAACCTGGGTGAAATTGGAGTTGGCGGTCCCGCCTCTGACTTGGGCCTACTCTGGCTGTTGGAGGCGCTTGGGGTGAACCAGAGGACCAAAGAGGTCTTGTTTCTCTCTCTGTCCTTCTCTGCTTCTCTTTCTCTGATGATTTGTTTTCTAAGCCAATATAGAGATTGTTCTTTTAAAATAAACGAAGGAGAAGTACGTAAATCCGACCAGGATTGATTTGATCTGTAGAAAATGCAGTCATTCCTTGTCTGCCTCCTTTTCCGTCCCCACTTTTGTTTTCTTGGCTTCCTTCTCCATCTCATCCTTAGATTTCATTTGACTTCCACATTTAATGTAGTGAAAAGAGAAGACTCTGCCAAGTGCTTTAAGTTCTCAAGATTAAAAAATGCTGCAGTGAAGCAAGTGCTGTTTTTATGAGATAGTCCAAGTGGTGAGCAGAACATGGTCCAGGTTCAGGGCAGTTGCTGAATTGCAGCCTACTTGTTCAGGCCAGCAGGGCCTGTACTGTCCAGGAGCCAGAGGCTGGGGGGGCGGGGGGTCATGTGGGAAGGCTCCCCAGGAACAGGCACACCAGAAGCCTGTACTGTCCAGGAGCCAGAGGCTAAGGGGGTGGGGGGAGTCATGTGGGATGGCTCCCCAGGAAGCTGTACCCAGGGGCCTGGACTTGCTGCCCTGGGGCTGGGGGCTGTGCAGGACCACACACAGTGGCCCCAGAGCCAGTGAGGAGACAGGGACATCCACCAGCGACTTCTGTTGCCAGCATGGCTGTTTTGGGGTTCTAGGACACAGATGCCATGTGTACTGTTGGGAGGTGTCCCTGCTCTCAGTGGAAGGTGTTGAGAGCAGGTGCAGAGGCAGATTGGCCATGACTCCATATGTCTGTGCTTTTGGCAGCAGTTGGCCTCTGAAGGAGCCTCATGAGCAATTTTAGACAATTTTAGACTCTAGCATTCACTGGCCTGCATGCTGAGGCTGTGGGTTTATCCTATGTCCTCTGCTCTAACCCCATCTGCTCTCTCACTGCCTCCCCTATTTTCCCTTCCTGTATGGTGAGCTCTGGAATCTCTCTGCCTTGGAAATACAACAGAATTATCCAGATAATCCCTGCTTCATAGAAAGGTTGAGTTAGGGGCTAGCGTGTGGCGTGGTAGGTAGAACAGTTACCTGCCACACCAGCATACCGCGAAGACAGCATTTGTGTCCCCGCTGCTCCACTTGAAACCTAGCTCCCTGCGCATGGTCTGGGAAAGAAACAGCATATGGCCTAAGTGCTTGGGCCTCTGTGCCACAGGGCAGACCAGAGGAAGCTCCTGGCTCCTGGCTTCAGCCTTGCCCAGCCCTGGATGTTGGGACCATTTGGGGAGTGAACCAGCAAATGGAATATTCATATTCTCTCTCTCTCTCTCTCTCTCTCTCTCTCTCTATCTATCTATCTATCTATCTATCTATCTCTAACCTTAAAATAAATAAATAAAATTTAAAAGAAAAGACTGTGAGAGGGCTTCTGTGACTGGCAGACATACAGCACAGGTGATACTCATGGCCCAGCACAGTGCCAGTGCCCAGCAGCCCACTCCTGTCCTTCAGCCCCACTCGGGTCCTGTGGGGCTCCTTTCGTTACCATCTCACAGCGAAGGCTCTCAGCTGCCGTGAGGGCCTTGGCTGTGGCCTCACCATCCCTGCCCGCTGCATTGCTCCCTCATGTCGTCTCCCCGTCAGGCTGGACCCACTAGAGGATCAGCATTCGTACTTTGCTGTCTTCCCACATTTGAGCAGATGAGAGTTACTCAAACAGCTTAATTAGCTCTTCATTAAAAACGAAGTTGAAGTGTAGACAAGAGAGCCCATCGGATACAACAGGCTTCCATCTGCCAGTTTATTTGCCTGGGCCTCGCCTAAGCCAAGAACCAGGGCAGTGCCAGCCTCCAGAGTGGGTGCTGGGGCCTTTCCAGGGACTGCAGGCCAGAAAGCTGTATTTGCTAGCTTGAGGGGGGACTGAAGCCCGATTTTCTAAATGTGGGATGCAGGTGTCCTGAGTCTTAGTGCTAGGGCGAAGGTACATTCCACAGCATGACTTTTCACTTTTGTTATTTGCCTTGGCTTATATCGCCAAACATCTTTTGGCGAATTCTAATCTTTGCGTTATTT